ACTGGGGCTGTCGATCTCACTCCACTATTTCACACCGTCCTCTGCTCTGTTGCAGGCACAGGCATCATGGCACATGTATGGGGATGCGTGTCAGGAGACAATGTTTTTGAAATTGGTTCTCTCCTTGTACCTTCTCCTGGAGTCCTGAGATCAAACCCAGGTCCTCTGGCTTAGACTGGCATGGCCAATATCTTCTCCTGCTAAGAGCTCACTGGCCCATTATCATCTTCTAAAAGAGTCCCTATGTTTCAGAGCTGTACTCTGAAATATCTCTGTGCAGAAGCTGGCCAGGAACTCTTTTATCTATTTAGACTATATTGACTTTGGCCTCAGTTTTCCTTCACCAGACTATGAGTACTGGGGTTGAAGGCATGAACCACCACACTCAGGTGTACGCCCTTCCTTCTTTTGTGTAAGATTCCTTATGTATATGCATATGTATCACGTGTCTGCCTCATGCTCACTGGAATTAAAGGCAGTGTTGAGCTGCGATGCAGGAAATCCAACCAGGTGATCTGAAGTGTTTCAACCATTCAGCCATAACTATAGTTTCCATGTATCCTTACCACAGAATATGAAAGTGCCCCTATGAGTCCCTTTTGTCCCCATCCCAGCCTTCTGAGTGTCTAGAATCACAAGTTGGAGCCCCCAAACCCAGTGTGGCCACCCTTTAACATGGTTTGTTGTAAGTCATCAGGAATGCTCTGTTCTAGGATCACTGGGCACCAGCACACCCTTCAGTTTCTGTGTCAAAAAAAAATTCAAAAAACCATAAAGTAATAAACTTCAACACACTGAGAAAAATTCAGTGTATTCTATATATTTAACAACTGAACAGAGACCGCTGGCCCCAATTAAGAAAGCTTACCCATATGAATTCTTCTCTTTTTCTGATACATGTATAGACATGCAGATACATGGCTTCCCAGGGAAAATTCCAGCATCTGTGTCTTGTCGGGCTCCATGGTCTCTCCTTGACTGTATCCTTTTTTCCTCCAGCATTCAATTTAGTTTTCCTTTATTAGCTCTGTTCCCCTATAGCTCTGCTATAGGCCCAAAACAGTTCCTTAATTAAGGAATGATATTCATAGCATACAGAGGCAAAACTCACATCAGAAAAAGAGACATAGACAGACGAACAAAGAGAGAAGCAAAGAAAGAAAGAAAGAAAGAAAGAAAGAAAGAAAGAAGAAAGAAATGACAAAAGAAAGAAAGAAAATAGAAGAAAGAAAGAAAAATAGAAAGAAAGAAAGAAAATAGAAGAAAGAAAGAAACGCAGGACTGAGAAAGTGTTGGTTGTAAGGTGTATATTTTGCCTTACAGGGGTCCTTGGATGTCCTTCAAAGTCTGGATGATGACCCCCTTCTGGACACCCAGCCTCTAGCACACCACTCCTTAAGTGCTCACTTTAGACCCAGATTCCATCCTCTTCCCTTGGTCATCGCGAATCTTCTGTTGTTTATACATGTGAGTTCACTGCAGAGCTAGTGTTCCTAAAACACACGAGCGAGTAGGGGGAGAGATGGTCCAGTCATAAGATGCTTGAGGACCCGGGCACATCTCCAAAAGCTATGTGAAAACCTGGGGGTGGAGGAGCACACACCCAACAATGGGGAGGTGGAGACAGGTGGAACCCTGAGACTCTGTGGCCAGCCTAATCTGCTAGGAGGTGACCCCAGACCATCCTCAGAGACTCCAACTCCAGATCAAAAGAGAAAGGTAGACGTCTTCCAAAGAATAGCATGTGTATTGTTCTCTGACCTCAGGTGCATGCACATGTGTGCACACACGACAGTGTATGAGCTCTGTGGGGGCATTTGGGCTGCATCTATCAGTTTTTCCAAATGTAAATAGTTTCATACAGATGCAAAGAGTTTACCGTAGAGATGTTTGCACATGTGTAAGGGCATAGTTAGTGGCAGTGGGATTGTCACACAAGAAATCACGAGGTCCCTGGTGTTCCTAGGACCACTGCTTCTCTTTCTACATTCCAGGCTAGCTGGTCCTTGAGCAGAAACATTGACTGCCTATAACAGGGTCGAAGGAGAGAAATTGTCCTCTGGTGTCTACATTCCTGCTTGAGCACAGTGCTCACACACAAGCACAGTAAATGCATGAGTAGAGCCAGGCTTGGTGGCACACGCCCATACTTTCAGCTCTTGGAAGGCAGAGGCAGGTAATCTCTGAGAGGAGACATCCTCCCTTCCCTGCTGCTTCCCTTCCTTCCTCAGACAACACAGCCCTCCTGCTGCTCTTGTGCTTGGAAGATACCTTCCCTGAGCCCAGCAGCCTGGACCTGGAGCTGATCTGCTCCCTGAGCTGTCTGCTGCTCTATGCAGGTGAGAGTGGAAGCCACTGTCCTGTGACCTCTGCCTGCCTCTCCTGTCACTGCAGACACAGCTGTCACTTTAATGAGCAGCCTACATTTGCTGAGGACTCCTTTAGCTCCTTTGTCTTTGACATCTGACCACTTCCGGTCTTCTGTGCTTCAGAGTAAGAGAAGAGACAACCACTCCCAGTGAGTCCATTTTCTCCGCTCCTGTCAGTCACAGATGCTGGGAACCTTGAGCTGCAGAGGTGGCTCAGCATTGAGAGTCCAGACTGCTCCTCATCGGGTCAGGTGCTCACAAATGCCAGTAAGGCCACTCCAGGGGACCCGGTGCCTCTGTCTTCCAGAAAGCACAGGCACACAGCCTTACACACACAATTTAAAAAGCTTTGAATAGGAAAGTATTTTCAGTTTATTGAAGTAAAACTTTCGCAGATAACAAAAATACAAACTTCTTTTCTTTAAGGCGGTGGTTCTCAGCCTTCCCAATGCTGTGACCTCTAATACAGTGCCTCAGGTTGTGCTGACCCCCAACATGAATTTACTTTTCTTACTACTTCATAAGTGTAATTTTGCTACTGTTGTGATTTGTAATGTAAATATCTGATATCCAGGATATCTGACATGTGATCCCGTGAAAGGTCACCAATGTGACCATGAACTTTTAGCTAACTAAGTCCCTGCCTCTGCCTTCTAAGCTCTGGGATTATAGCTGCATCAACAAGTTAGGACCTGCATGTATCTAAATTTAGTATCTTAATGAAAAAGAATGACCTGGCCTAATGTCACACACATTTAATCCCAAAACGCAGATGCAGACCCACATGGGTCTCTCTCCTTCATTTTTGGTTTTTGTAGACAGTGTTTCTCCATGTAGCCCTGGGTCTCCTAGGCAGTTGCTTCAGAACAGTGGATTAAATACTGTTCTACCATGATCTGGATACTGGATCACTTGGTGAAATTAAGTTGTAAAAACCTCTTTTGTTTGTGTTTGTTTTCAAGAGAGTATTTCTCTGTGTATCCCTGGCTCTCCTCAAACCCACTCTGTAGACCATTCTGGCTTCAAACTCATAGAGATCCCTACCAGCCTCTGCCTCCTGAGTACTATGACTAAAGGCATCTGCCACAACCACCCAGTTTAAATTATAAAAGTTTAAACAACGTTTTTAGGCCAAAAAAGCCTAAAATCAAGTAAAAGTAAAGGCAATATGTACAAATTGCTTCCCATGATTGATTTCCAGAGCAGAAGTCACTAAGTTCATTCCTGAAAGACTGATCATGGACTAGCCCTGCAGTATAAACCTGAGGGAAAACTCTGGGCAGCTGTGCCTTACTGAGCACTGCTGAGGACTCAGTCAAAATGAAATAAAATCGTCCTGATGAATCCAGGTAACCTGTTTCTATTCTGATTTCTGCAGGAGTATTTCAAGACTAGAAGAAATTGTTGAAAAGCAGGGAGACCTAATCATATATCTGAAGAGACACAACACCCTGCTCAGTAAGCAGATGTTGGACTTCGTTCTCAGCCAGCTAGGACCTGAGAGACTCCTGGGTATGACAGCTATCAAATCCTCAGTAACTCCAGACTGCACCAAGTTACTTCCACAGTGTGTGATGGGAACATGAGCTTTGCATGGTTACACACATGGGAAACTTGACAATATTTTGTATGGTTTGAAATAATTTAACTGCTTAACTCTTTGGGAATTTAAGAACTATGGAATAATGTAGCTCTTTGTAAAGCAAGTGTGCCATGACAGTGTGCTGTAAATAGTGTTTCAAACCAGTCCGTTCTTGCCACAGTCAACTGCTGAGAGAAGACATAGTTCCTGGTGCTCCTGTTTTCTTCTACAGTCTCACGGGCAGTTTTGTATGAGTGAGGGCAGATCAGGTGAGGGAAAGATCAGATGTGTTGTTGTTTTCTTGCTTGTTTGTTCTCCAGAGCTGGGGGGCGAAACCAATGCCTCACACAGAATGAGCAAACACTCTGCCTCTGAGTCAGTTTTACCAGGATTTCCTTCTGCTGCTCATGGTGACTCACACCTGTAGTCCCAGCTCCTGAAAAGCTGAGGCAAGAGAATCACCACCAGCTTGAAGCCAGCTGATGTCTAGTACACAGAATGAGACCTTTCTCAAAAGCACTGAGCACTTTCCTCAGTATAGGACCGATCTCACCAGGACATATACGGTGGCCTTTCGGCTGTGTGTAGTTGAGAAATACAGTGTGAAGGATCCTGGGACAGCGGGAGACCCAGTGGAGAGGGGTGACACCTGCTATGTTTGGAGAGTGCTGGCTGGCAAGAGGTGTAAGAAATCATCTGTCATTTAGTGTATCGTTGCTCTTCTTCAGGGACTTGCCATAGATCCCTGTGCTACACTTTGATTTACAGCAACTTCAATTAGCTGAGCATGGTGGCCCACAGCTGTCATCCTAGTACTTGGGAGGCAGACACAGGAAGTTCAAGACTAACCTGGTCCAAATAGTGAGTTTCAGGCTGGCCAGAGCTACAAAGTCATCCTTTTCCCTCTCGCCCAATTCCTCTGCTAGCCCAGCCTGTTCCCAGGCCTATAAAATCAAAGTGTGGAGAGTCCAGAGCTGGCATCCTCCTCCACTGCAGAGTGAGTCAGAGGACAGCTTGCAACAACAGAAGACGCTACCGGATGCTAACTTAAAATGGGATATTTTCACCTCTGCCCAGCCCCTGACAGCCAAGCAGGAATCAGAGCCTTTGGGGCAAGGAAAAATGCAGACTAGAACACCTGTGTGCATGAGTATTGCTACTCATGGCCTCAGCAGGGGTGCTCTGCGGGCATTTACTGCTTGAGGACTAGCGCACATTTCTACATTATTTTTATGTGTGTGAGTGTTTTGCCTGCATCTTGTACACATATGTATGCACTTGGGAATGTCTAATCCCTACGATGGACAGAAGAGGGCATCTGATTCCGTGGAACCAGAATAGATTCCTGGAACTCAAAGTTCAGGGAGAGAACCAAACCCAGCAAGTTCTCCTGTGGCCTTCACTTGACTGTCATGGCACAGGGTCCACCCATAAACACACACATAAATGTAATTTTAATGAAGATGACTTCTGGACCCGAGTGACGGCTCAATTGGTAGACAGCCTGCTTGCCTTGTAAGCATGAGGCCCTGGGCTCTTTCCACAGTGCCTACAGGTCAGGATGGTAGCACAGGCCTATAATCCCAGTACTTGGGAGATGGGACCAGGAAATGCAAAAAGCCACAACCACCCCTAACTCCCTAAAGCAAGAAACCAGATTCTCCTAATTCTGCCTCCTAAGGATAGAAATGAGCCATGAGCCACCAAGCCTGGACATTAAAGATCTACATATAGGGGGATGGAGAGATAGCTCAGCAGTTTGGAGCACTAGGGCTGTTTCCATGAGGTGTTGAGTTCAATTTCCCCACCCTCATGGTGGCTGACAACCATCTGTAGTGGGATCTATTTCTTCTGGTAAAGCCATACATGCAGATAGAGAACTCATATACATAGAAACAATAAAGGAATATTGTTTTTAAAAGAAAATTAAGTGAGATGTATGAGAAGGCAAGAGTAATAGCTATACACCCCGAGGATGGAGTCATTTTCTTTTTATTAAAATTTAATGGATAAAATCAGTACATTCATGGGAACTTTGTCACATTTCAACATGTAGTGTTCAAATAGCAGGTGACAACTACCTTTTCAACAGTTTGTCTCCCCTCTGGTGACATCATCTCAGATTCTCTCACCCAGCATTTTCCTCCTCTCCCTTCTTTCCCTTCTCTACCATGAACCAATCAGGGCCTGAGAAGGCTCACAGGGTAAAAGTGCTTCCCATTGCTGACCTGATGACCTCAGTGCTGAAGGCAATCCAGGGCCATGTGATGGAGAAATCGTGACCCTCAACTGTGGTCAGTCTGTCTGCTTATCTGTGTCTACGTGTCTCTGTTACATATTCAAACACACAAATTTTTAAAAATTGGTTAAAATGTGCACAAAAACATATAGATACCCAGAGACATTAGCCTGTAGTCCCGGCTACTGGGGAAGGGGTGTGAAGGGTGAGAATAACAAATTCAAGGGTAGCCTGGACACCCTGACAAGACAATAACAAATACAAAGGGGTGGATGCTGTGAGCTCAATGCGGATCACCTGCACAGGAGCTCTAGGACCTGAATCCAATCCCTAGTGCTGGATCTGGAAGACAAGGGCAGAAGAAAAGGGAGGGAAGGAGGGAAGAACGGAGCCAGGGCAAGGGAGGGAGACATGGAGGTTAACATTGATGATCTGATTACTAAATCGAAAACTCAGGAGTTTTAAAGGTTTTAGAATTCTGCATCTGTTAATCCAGTTGCTTATGAATATTGCAGGAGTTTCTGAGATTCTGAGGAAACTGGGGTATCTTCAAGAACAAATTTGAAAGGCTGGGCATTTGTGACTCAGGAGAGCCATGCAGGAATCCGAGGTCAGCCTCTGCTTTGTACCAAGTTTAAGGCCATCCTAGACTGAATAAGACCCTCTCTGATATAAAATAAATAAATATATTCTTAAAACTCCCATCCCATTATGAGGTGCGATGGGCCTGTGATACAGGGCTGTGATTTGAACCACCTGGATGTGCTGAGCCAGGAGGGACAGCAGATTTAGTTAAGGCTAGTGTGGATGATTCCTTAGGACAGTCTCTAAGATGACAGGGTTGTGTGTGGCTCGATGGTCCATTATTTGCTAGGCATGGGATTTAATAACAAAACTTCTTTCAGATGTAAGACACAGAAATTAAAAAATACAATTGTTGCCCGATGTGTTGATCCATGGCTGTAACCCAGAGTACAGGAAACTGAGATAGGCATGCTGACAGGGTCGGCCTGGACAGCATAGCAAGTTCCAGACCGATCTGGGCAACACAGGAAGAACTTGCCTTGAAAAAAGATGAATCAATACAATAAAAGAGAATGTGGGTACAGCACTCACACCCATAATGCTATCAATGATGTATAGTCTTGTCCGCAGCTGTACAACCTTGGCGATCATCTGGGATGGGAGCAAGGAGTATGGAGCCTGAACTAAATGTCAGAGTTAAGACCACCTGTGGGTTTTCGCCCACCATCTGAGGCAGAACATAGCCTAAGAGGTTCTGAATGACGACTCAGGTAGAAATAAGGGCAAACAGGCCCAGTGAAAGTATCCCTGAAAGTATAGATGTGAGATTTCTCAGGCATGCTATAGAAGGAGACCTCTCCCAGCTCATAGTCCAG